GAGTGATTATGCCATAATACTTTCACCAAGGCTATTTCCTTCAATCTTAGTTTCTTTATCTGCCTATAAAGAATAGCTACTGGAACTTCCTCATAGGATAAGTCTTTATTTACTTGGATTTCTTGAGTTTCAACAATATGAGAAGGATCATACAAATACTTTCGCAATATTGACACATGAAATGCAGGATGAATGCCATCTAACTCTGGAGGCAAAGTAAGATGATCAGCAACAACACCCACTCTTTCTAGTATTTCAAACGAACCAATGTACCTCGGGCTAAGTTTTTCTTTCTTTCTGAGCCTCATAATACCTTTATAGGTGATACTTTCAAGAAAACTTTATCTTCCACCATAAATTCTAACTCTCTATGGCGATGATCTATGTAAGACTTTTGTCTGCTTTAAGCTGTTAACAATCTTTGTTTGATAACCTGTACCTTCTCTTTAACATCCTGTACAAAGTCCAATCCCACAATTTTAGCATCTCCCACTTCAAACCAACCAGGTGGAGATCTATACTACCCACCATATAAGGCCTCAAACGGTGCCATTTGTATACTTGCTTAATAACTATTGTTATATGTAAACTCCATTAATGCTAAATGCTCATCCCAACTTTCCCTAAAGTCTAAAACACAAGGCCTCAACATGTCTTCAAGAATTTGAATTGTCCTCCTAGATTGATTGTCTGTTTGAGGATGAGATGCAGTGCTAAGATCCAGTCGAGTTCGCAAAACTTCTTGAAATGATCTCCAAAACTGTGAGTAAATTATAGTTCTCTATCAGAAATTATAGATATTGGAACTCCATGTAAACGTACAATTTGATTAACATAAATCCGAGCATAATCATTGGCAGTATACATTGTTTTGACCGAAATGAAATGTATGGATTTGGTCAACTATCGACAATCACCCAAATAGAATCATTCTTCTTAATGGTTCGAGGTAAACCTATAACATAGTCCATTGTAATATTTTTCCCATTTCTATTCCGAAATTTCCAATCATTAGAGTGGCCCTGTTAGTTTCTGGTGTTCTGCCTTAACTTGTTGACATATTAAGCATTGTGACACAAAGTTTGCTACATCACCCTTCATTCCATCACACCTATATAATTGCTTTAAGTCTTGGTATATCTTTGTAGATCTTAGATAGATTATATATGTAGAATGGTGAGCTTCTTCCAAAATATACCTTATCAAGTCTTTGATTTATGGAACAAAAATCCTATTATCATGTCTTAAAACTCCCTCTAGGTCAATTATAAATTTGACGTTCTCCCCCTTCTCAACCAGTTCTATTAATTTACCAAGTTTTGGACCCAAATTTTAAACAACTTTAATTTGATCAATTAAAGAAGAACAGGCTTGCATGTGAGCTAAAACTCAAGCTTATTAATTTCTTGCACCAAAGGTCTTCTCCCCATTGTTATATGTACTAGACTACCTATAAATTTTCTACTTAAAACATCAGCCATTACATTTTCCTTGTCGGGATGATACGGGTTGTGCAGTCATATTCCTTAAGCAATTTCATCCATCTCCTTTGCTTAAGATTAAGATCTTTTTGCTCGAAGATATATTTAAGACTCTTATGATTAGTGAAATTTCACATGTCTCTCCATACAAATAATGTCACTAAATTTTCAAAGCAAAACAACTGCTGCCATTTCTAAATCATGAGTCGCATAATTTTATTTATGTTTCTTAAGTTTCTTGGATGCATATGCAATTACTCTCCCATCTTGCATTATAATACAACCAAGACCAACCCAAGAAGCATCATAATAAACTGCATATCCACCTATTCCTAATGGCAAGCTTAACACTGATGCAAACGTAAAACAATCTTTCAGTGCTTTCCTCACATTCATCACCCCACACAAACTTCACATTTTTTTTTTGAGTTAATCAAGTTAATGGTACTGCTATCCTTGAAAAGTCTTTAATAAAACGATGATAATAACTAGCCAGGCCTAAGAAACTCCATATCTGTATAACTGTAGTAGGTCGTGGCCAATTCTGAACTACTTTAACTTTGCTTGGGTCTACCTGTATACTATCTTCAGACACAACATAACCCAAGAAAGTAACTTAATCAAGCGAAAATTCACATTTGAAAAACTTTGCATAAAGTTGGTGCTCCCTTAATGTCTGTAATACTAGTTATAAGTGTTATTTATGTTCCTCTACACTCTTTGAATAACCCAAAATATCAATAATGAAAAAAATTACAAACTTGTCCAGGAAGGGTCTAAATAGCTAGTTCACCAAATCCATGAATGTTGCTGGTGCATTGGTCAACTCGAAAGACATTACCAAAAACTCAGTGGTCATATTGAGTTCTAAATGCTATTTTTGGAATGTCCTCTTCCTTAATTTTCAATTGCTGGTAACTTGAACATAAGTTAGTCTTTGAGAAACACTAAGCTCTTGCCAACTAGTCAATAATGCAAGGCAACAGGTATTTATTCTTTATAATTACTTTGTTCAGCTGCAAATAATCAATATAAAATCTTAATGACCCATCCTTCTTTTTCACAAAGAGAACTAGCTCTCCCCAAGGAGAAGTACTAGGACAAATAAATCCCTTATCCAACAGCTCTTGCAACTGACTCTTTAATTCTCTCAGCTTTGACGGTGCCATTCTATAAGGAGGATTTGAAATTGGCTTAGTACCTAGAATCACTTTAATGAAAAAACTTGATCTCCCTATCTAGGGGTAATTTAGGAAATTCTCTAACTATAGAAATTTATTCCAACTAGAAATTAGTTTCTTGACATCCTTTACCAAGGCTAAATACCTTTGGCAGCCCTTCATCAAAAGTCATTGGGCCTTCATGGTCAAAATTAAACCGATCAGTCTATCAATTTGGCTCCTTTGCAAATCAAAAGGGTTTTCTCAAGGAATTTTAAATATCACCACTTTTAAGTGACAGTCAACAGTCGCATGACAAGATGCTAACCAATCCATGCCCAGAATTACATCAAAATCAATCATATTTAATATTATCTAATCAACTAAGGTTTCTCTAACCCTCAAGAAATACTTCATATGATTTGTATCCCTGCATAACAAATAGAGGTCCTCTTACTAAAATAGCAACCATAAAAGGATTATCAAACTTCGTGGTTTACCTCATTTGAAGCTTGAACATCCTATTAGGCCATAGCATAAACGTATGCTTGTCCTTGCTTTGAAGATTGTTCTCACTTCCTAAATTTTTTTTTTGACACACTCCTATTAGCAATAGCAGAAGGCGCTCCCATAAAAGCAATTAAGCAGGGAAGAGGTTGAACAGACTAGCTAGACAGTGATTAAACAAGAGGACAATTTCTTCCTAAATGACCAACTTGTCCACACTCAAAACAAGTACAAGATGCCTTATGACAAGGTTTAGAATAAAAATTCCCATAAATAATACAATAGGCTAGCATAACTTGACTGATTCAACACTGGCTGAGACTACCGTCTAGGATTTCAAAAACTAGATCTAAGAATTGGAGAACTAGAAAAGGGAGAAACATAAGATCTAGGCATCTCAAGGTTAGGCATCTCTTCTCAACGCCCTCAAGAAACATTATTGGGTTTTCATTCTATCAGTTCTAGAGAAAGCATGAAGATTTAACTTGATAAAATCAATCAACCTCACTAAAGTAGTCTCTTCTCCAACATCATTACAAGTTCCATGTCCTATACCATACATAACTAATGAAGCATCTTCAAAATATTAAGAATTTAAAGACTCGGTCTTAGATAAAATTTTATAAATATGCTTATGGGGTTGACCACCCCTAATCATGGCTCGCTTATGACCCTACTCTTGACCACAAAGCAAGGTAATTCATTGCCTGGAGTAGAGGACCTATCAAATGTCCTACAGCTACTAGAAATTCTAACATATAGATACTAGAAATTATACCATAAAGAAAAGGATTGGGCGGCTTTCTCATTATACAACAAAACATAATTATTTATTTTGAGATGATAAAATTATTATTGCTCCACGTAAAAGGGAATGACTCTTTGGGACATCCTAAAAGGCCTTCAATGAAGCCTCAATTATTATTATGCTCGGGTTCATAATAATAATTAGGACTCCAAAGAAGAATCATTGCTCCACGTAACCATAGAAACCTAAGCTCTGATACCATCTGTCACACCCCAATACTAAAGGTATGATTGGCATGAAATATGAGGTAAACTCATATTCCATAAGCCTTGATTAACTAGATATTAAGCTAAAAATATCAATATATGTGAGTTATACATAATAATAAGGTTTGCAAGTTTTGAATGTTTTGTAGAAATTTTAACAGAATCTCCCCTATAATTTAGACTTCCCAAAACTTTCACAACAACAAAACTTGTCACCTAAACCAGTAAGGAGACTAGCTCCATTCTAGTAATTCATATAATAATAAAATAAAACTAAGACCTAGCTATGGTGTACATGGAGCACTAACTTACAATTTACAAAATACAGCACAGAGTTTCAAAAAAAAAAAGAATAATCACCATGTGCTTTCTCTTTCCAAAAAGTAATAGGGTCCCTCAATGATCCACAGGAGGTAGAAGGTCAGGTACAATATCTGAGGTCAAAGAAACTTCCGGTGAGTAGCGTTCCAGTAAATTTTAAAGAACTTATGAAGATAGTAACTAACAGATTTAATCCAAAATGACTTGATGAACTAATGAAACATATATGTAAGCTAGCAATAAACCACGCTTTTTCTCAACAATATAACTATGAATGTAATCAACTGTTATTAGAATCACATAACTATTTAAAAATAGGTACGACTGATAAAGTACAAACATTTTCAATAATAGTGCAGTTCAATAAAATACTTTCAGAAGATTAATAGATAATTGATAAATTTAAATTTAAATTTAGGAGGGCTTTATTAGAATGAATAACAAAGCGTGGACACATAGCCCACAAGGGTAAGTAACTAATTAAGCGCTGCTAAAAGCCATGAAACAAGCACGGCAAGAGCCACAAATCAAGCACAGGCACGAGGCCTACGAAAACAAGAGTGAGTACAGTGCTCACGAATTACCATCCCTCCAGTCCATGTGTGTTGGCCTTCGCATGGGGCTAGCATCTTCTACAAGCACCCTGCTAGCTAGGTGTACCATGGCGTGCCAAGGGCTAATGGAACTGCCGTTAGCATCCAGCGTTCTGAAATGAATCCCCCTCATTAAAATCAAGCGTGTATGGAGTAAGAAAAATAATTTCAAAATCTTCACTTGCAAATATTGTCTAGCTATCATTTTTCATTATCCAAATGAATTATCATTTCTTCCATACACAAATTATTGGAATAAAATATTATTTCAATGTAGAATCAAATAATTAAGCTGCTTATGAGAAATAATACCAGTTATCATATATATTCTTCAATCATTGCTTATCAACAATATAAATCCTTAGTAAAGTTAACACATATTCATAAATAAAACAATTACAAAAATAAGATTAATATGAATATTTGTGCAATTTATAAAGAAATAATAGTAAAATATAAATAAATGGATTTCATAAACACTCGATTAAAATTTGATTTGGAACGTTACCCACTCACTTGAAAGTTTTGAAAAACCTTACATTCAAACTCCTTCAATTTCTTGCTTACTCCAATGATGCCCCCAAAGTAATCTAACACATAAACCTAACAATTTTCGTGTCATTATGAATTTTTTCTGTCTTTAATAATCAAGTTAAATTAATATTTAAGCTCTTCAATAACCCTTTCTATTCTCATTGAATCCACCAATAGCCTCTATCACGTAATTCAGAATACTTGGTACCATTCCATTCCAACTATTGACATAACCCTTATTCCAGACTCAACAAATTCGTGTAATAATTTCCCTCTAGATGTTATACAATTTCAATAGATAGATCAAGTTACTTATATATTATATGAAAATAAAAATTTTCTTAGCTTGCCTATAAAATTCCTCTAGGTTTTACAATAAAATTTAACAATTTTTTTTTTCGGCTCGGCATAATAAGAAGAATAGCATCTAATCTTTACCAAAACAATACTAAGCCTTACTACCAATCGCATGATAGGGATATTGAAAAACAGAGCACCACCCTCGGCCAATAAAGGAAAGAGAATGATGGACGTTGCTATTGAACTCGAAGGAATAGAAGGAAGAATTAGTGTTTTACCTCTACCATAGTGCAACATTAGCTACCGTGCACAGACTCAAGAACCACACGAAGAATAGTCCAAGTGTCGCCACCCAGCTGTCTAAAGAGGAGGAGACGCAGCATTACCCATGGACCGAAAAAGAAGACGAAGACCTTAAGCTTCCACTACACAAAGACGTTCAGCAGATGAGGATAAAGAAAACGAAGTCTAGTTGCCTACTCACCACCGACAGCCACAAGATCGAGAAAACCGTAGAAAACTTCAACCTCCTTCCTTACTGGACAGACAAAATCAAACGGGGAAGAGGAAGAAGGCAGCAGCAAGTACACAGACCAGTGGCAAGAAAAGAAGTGGAGTGTTACGCACCTAACGATGATACAAACAACAACGATGACAGGGAAGAGAATCAGCAACTCAACTCCACTTGTGGCTGGAAAACGAGGATGACAGGGATGACCATAGATGGAGTAACAACAACAACGAGAAAGCTCAATTGACAGCGAGCTAAGGATGTTGATAAGGGCTGGAGAAATGGACCGATTATGAGCATCTAGAAAACCGTATGATGGCGGTGAGAGAGAAAAAAATCGTGATGCTCTGTTTTTTCTTCGCATTGAAGAAATGAATCAGAACCAAAAGAAGCATTGGAGCAAAGTACAAAAAGAGCTCGAGAAAATTACAATGCAAGGCACGAGAAAATTACAAGGAACGGCGCAAGATTTTCCTAAAATTTTAAATCTAAACTTTTGCTCGGAAAAATTTAAACTTTGAATTCTCAAGAAAACTTTTAGCATGAGTTCCTCTAAACTATCAATTTTTACTTACTATAAAATTTATTTAATTAAAATATTCATTGAGAAATTTTTTTTTCAATTTAAAATTTAAGATCATTATACTCTCTTTAGTTTAGGTTAAATTAAGCCTACAACTTCAAAGCATTATCATTCTGACTCAAACTAGTTACAAAGTACTAGTTTAATCCTAGAGAATCTTTTTATTATTATAGGGTAAGAAATCAACTCCTTAAAACTTTCAAATTCAATTTCTCAATAGTTAAAACTAAGAGAAAATAGGGTAGAATCGGAAGTTAAGGCAGTACGAGACTTATCTGATAAGTAACAGGTCAAAAATGTTGTCCTTTTTCCTGAAATTGCTTGCCCTAGCAGAGCTTGGCTTTCCTCTCCACGTCTAACCTCTCTTCACTTGATCTTCCTTCTATTTTCATGCCTAGGACATGTCCCACTTAAACAAGTTTTTGATTCAGTGAGGAAAATCTTTACTATGCTCACACACTCTACACCAAGACCTCATTCTTTCACTCATATTTGTTTATATAACATCCCAAAAAGTTAATATAACATTCCACTATCCAAGACAATAATCTCATATTAAACCACTAATTTATTCTGCGATCAGTAATTAATGTAGAATTAGAAATTCAGGATGTTACATAAACCAAAAAAAGACAATAAAAATATGCCACAAGGACCAAAAGGGTCCAAATATTTGGATATAAGTTCCAAATATGGGTATAAAACTTGCAAAGGACCATGGTCTTTGATCAAAAATATATTTTTAGATAACATAAAAAAATTCTTAATTTTTCCTGCACTGATCTATTGAAGCCATTTAGGAATCTTCAATACTCTATATTCTTGGCATGAGTGTAGAAAAAAAGAAAGTTATTATTAATGATATCTTATAACTCAATGGTATCTTAAATTGAGATATTAGATTTAAAAAAATTTCAATCAAAATAATATAATATAATATAATATATAAAATATATATAATGAAATATCTAACACAATTATTTAAGCTTTTTCAGTCCTTATGCCCCGTTTTCTCAAAAGACTACAAAGGAGGACGAAGACACATATGCGAATAATCAACACAATGACAGTATTCACTCAGAGTCAGTGGAAAAAGAGAAATACACCTCACATTGTGGTTTCCAATAAATGGACAATGAGATTAATATGGACGAGGAAGAGCGAGAAAGTAACAAAAAGCAGGTTCTTCAACCACATTCAAATAATTCAACTTGCTTTTCCTTCAACCTACGTCTAACATCAATGAGTATGGAAGGATAAGAACTAAATATGAGAGAGAATACGAAAAATGACGTGTTAGGTGATAGACGGATGTGCGTGTTGTAATGGATTTCAGCTACTTCTTCTTGAAAAGAGATCTTGAATGTTTACGTATAGATTTTTGGAATTTAGTATTTTTTATATTTTTTTAGTTTTAAACAATGTTACTTTTAATTGAAGTTATTTTCTAGGGTAAGTCTTTAATATAAATTAAGACAATGTCAGTGCACCTAAAATTACTTTGAATAATATAAATATACACAAATTAATTGGAACTAAAGAGAAGCTTTGGGAAAAATTAATAAGATAGAAAAATGTAATTTCAGTATAGGAATCACAAGTAAAATTATAAGAATGTGCCTAGCTAATTCCTATAATTTTTATTTCGTCCAGCAAGGTATCTTGGTTGGTGTTTATGGAAGTTTTTGCTTTTATTTTGATTCTTTTATATTTTAAACTAATTATCAAATACTTATTTATTTATTAAAACAATTATTGTTATATTTATCATTACCAAACGTTTCTGTAATGTTTGTTTTATCCTTTGCTTCTGTAGTTCATTGTGGTTTTTATCAAATTTTCCAAAAACTTTTTCTTTCTCCCTTGGGTATTAGTACCCTAAACTCTACTATGAAGGTTGTAATTATTCTCATCATCATCAAAAACGGTCATTTTTTTAACATATATAGGACTTTTCTTTTCTTTTTATTTTATTTTTTAAAAGCAGATGATGAATTATAAAATAGTCGATATATTTTATATTTGTGCTATAGCCCAATGGTTTATGCCTTTCAAGGTGGCTAGTCCAGTAGTTCTATGTTATATGCTTTGTTTAAAGGTTCAACAAACTGTATGTTGATGACCCTCATGGTTGTAATTCATCTCATCATCGCAAAAACCAAAAAAAAAAAAGAAAAAAGAAAAAAAGAAAAAAGGAAAAGAAAAGAAAAGAAACAGTCATCTTCTGGCCTTTTCCTTTTCCTTTTTTTATTTTTATTTTATTTTCTCAAGCAAATTATGAATTATAAATGGTCAACATCCATGTGCTATAATTCAATAGTCAAGGCCCATTGTTAGAGTGGCTAACCTAATGGTTACGTATATCCCTCCCTAGTGTAAGCATTCAGCAATTGGCACAATGTGATAGGAAGAAAGTGGAATCCAAGTTGGCTAATTGAAAAACATCTGAGATTTCCTATCTCAAACTCAGGAAAACCCATAGAAATTTAAGTATATAATATAGGGAGAATTATATTGAAATCTCACAAGAAAATTAATTACTATAAGGTCCGTTGACGACTGAACTAAGGATATTGACAACACGTTACTATAGGGCCCAGTGACAACTGAACTAAGGAGATTGACTTGACTGTCAATCTCCTTAGTTCAGTTGTCACTGGACCCTATAGTAATGTGTTGTCAATATCCTTAGTTCAGTCGTCAATGGGCCTTGTAGTAATTAATTTTTTTGTGTGAGATTTTAATGTAATTCTCCCTATAATATAAAGAGTGAAATCCAAGTTGGCTATTGAAACGCTAATTGCCTCTCTACTGAGGGGAGAGAAACTCTTGCAAAATCAATTTAACCACTATATCTTTGTCCAATACAGGTTGCTATATTATCTCTTAGTGCGTGTAGTGCAGTGGAAAAATTACAAAGAGATTTTATCTGGCTAAGTAATCATGGCAGTAAACAATATCATCCTATCAAATGGGACTGTATCAAGTAGCCAAAAGAGTTTAGGGGCTTTGGATTCTATAATTTAATCTCCCTCAACGAGGCCTGTGGTACAAAGCTTGCTTGGAATCTTATTTCTTGTTCAAAAGGTCTTTGGGCTGAGGTGTTGCAGCAAAAATATATGTTGCATGATGAACAAAATCTCCTAATAGTTAATAAAGGTGACTCACCTCTATGGCATTTCATTTGTGAGCAGAGGGAGATTGTGGAAAGGGGAACCAGATGGCATATTAGAAATGGTAATTCTGCCAATTTTTTTGATGATATTTGGCTTATACAAGGGAGGAAAATCAAAGATTTTTGTGCAATGTCATCAACACCCAAAGTAGTAGAGTGGGTGAAGTATGGCACATGGGATTTTCCGAGGCTTGTGGGGGTCATCAATAACATGGTTTTGCAGCATTTGATTGTGATATTGCTACTAGCCCAGTACCTAGGGGAGTATTTAATGGCATGGAATTGAAGCCCCATGGGCAAGTAAGTTCACATTAAGGAGTGCGTATGAGATGATTGAAAACATTGATAATGCTCAATATAGCCCAATTTACAAGCTGATTTGGCAATGGTGAGGGGTAGAAAGGATTAGATTTTTATGTGGATTTCTTTCCATCAACTAGTGTATGGAGGAGTCAATGAGCACAAAATGGGAAGGAAGATATTTTTCATATTCTTGGAGATTGCCATTTTGCAAAACAAATCTAGTGTAAACTTGTTCATCCACATTACCTTTTTGGAATTCTTCTCTGCATCAATTCATGAATTGTTTTGTTTGAATCTGAAAAGAAAATTGTGCTCCTATTTCTTTCCTACTTAGGATTTAGTTTGGGGACTAACATTATGGGAGTTATGGAATTGGAGGAACGAATTCATTTCAAACCAAACTTCCAAAAACTATTCCTACTTCTATTATTATCAATGCATGGAAACATTTTGCGATGGATTCTCCTTCTGATTCTTGCGATGAAGAACACAGTGTCATCAAAAGCTGGTCCCCACCTCCAGCACAACGGTATAAATTTAATGTTGATGGGGCAACGTCGAGTGTTGATAACAAAGCTATCTATGATGGTTTATTAGGTGATGTAAAGGGTGAATGAATAGTAGGTGTAATGACCCTAAAAAAAAATCTTCTAATTGATATTTTATTTAAATTCATTTTATGATAAGTGAAAAGTAGTAATTTATTGGAACTTATGCTAGTAAATTTTTTTGAAAGTCCAGAGTTCAAATTCTATGAAGCAAAAGTTTGGTTTCATTTTGTTTTAAATTATGAAAAAATTTTGTGCCCTTTCTTGTAATTTTCCTTGTACTCTTTCTTGTAATTTTTCTATTTTTTCTTTAGATCAGATTTTATTGTTGTGTGAAAAGAAAACAGAGCATCTGTGTTTCTTCCCCCACCCCCCCCCCCTTTTCACTGACAATGTGCTCCTCTTCTCTTCACTGTCAGATTTTTCTCCTCACAGTCAGCCTTCTCTCCTCCCATCAGCCTTCTCTCCTCTTCTCGCTGAAGCTGTGCCGCCGTTGGGAGTTTATTTTCCATTGAAACTATAAGGTCCTCAAGTTTATTTTTCACTTCCTCCATTTTTACTAGTCGCAGCTATAACTACTGTAGTTTGTATATGAATAACAGGGGAATGTTTGGCTTCTATATAATCAAATGTTATGTTACATAAGATTTTCCTTAAAAGAGATTTTGAATGTCCAAGTCTACATTTTTTTAAAATTCATTATATTTATATTTTTCATCTTTA